TCTGAGGAAGACGAAGACGTCGAAACGTTAGCCGAAAATAAATATATTTATCAACCTCGTGCAAGCTTATCAAGAAAGAATACATATTGATTTGTCACACCGAGGTTTAGGGAAGGTCGGTTTCGAAACGCGCGAAGTGTTAGAAGAACTTTGCGTACTATACATGCCTGGAAAACGAATGGAATGCAGGAAATACTAGGATTTGAACAGTAGACATGAAGATAAATGCAAATGAAAGATAACAAGCTGTTCTTAACTTCTGTAGTTTTTTCGAAAATGGCTATCATTGCCCTTTTTTAGTGTGCAAACCCAAATAACCAGGCGTAATGCTAAACCTTCGAGGGGGAGCCGGCGTTAATAAAAAGCATAGCCTCTTCTATGATGTATGATGTATGTGTACTCTTGTATGATATCTACATGACTGTATAGATGTGTATATCACTTTATTACAAAAAGAAGCGTGGATTGAGAGTCTGCAATGGTTGATTTATATTAAAAGATAGTCTTACCTTTCATTTCACTTTACGCGAGAAATAAACCCACCAAGAAACGTTCAATAGTTTTCCAGCAATACATATTAGGTTTTGAGAGATGATATCATTACTGATCAGTGTTATTTCAACCATCGGCACAAAGTTCTAGCTGAGAAAGAAAACTCTTTCATCCTTTCTCTATGGTCTATTCTTTGAATTTTAGGTTCGGGTATTCCTGAAGTGAAGGTGATCATGCATGGGTTCGTCCTCCGTAATTACCTAACACTGAAAACACTGGTCGCTAAGATCGTTGGGTTGACGTTAACACTTGGTTCTGGAATGCCTGTGGGAAAAGAGGTGAAAAGTTTTTGCTTATGAAGGACTTCGTTTTTACACTAATGGTTTGACAACGAAGAACTGGTGAATGTGAGAGCAGCGATTAAGAACAGCTCACGTATTCAGATTAAGTGGAAAATTCATGGTTACTTGTTTTAACGTACACCATAGAGATTAGTTCATTACTCAGTTTTATATATCGTCGACGGTCATGTGTTATACGAGGTCGGGTCGTGAAAGGCGTTCTTCATCAACTGAGCAGTAGTCTTTTTTCATTAGTTACTAGCTTATCCTATGCGAACTTCATTTTTGTATTATGTTCATTAGTGGTTATCTGTGACTCAGACCGTACGATAGCGCAACTGTAACTAAATCTTCATTTCTTGGGAATACAAGTTTGATGTTGATTAATCACTACTGACATCAGCCATTATGGTGCAATTCCCCAGTATCAATGTTATAACTATGGCGATTAAAGTGTTGTATCGTTGTCAATGTCAACGCCTTAGTGGCTGGTATCTATTAAGGCTTCATAGAAACATTTAGCATTCATGGTTTTAGGTCTTCTTGCACGGTGATTTTCAAAAAGACTTTCCACTGGAAGCACAAAAGCTCGTGATGAAGTACCCCAGGTCATGATCGCAAGCAGTTACCGGCTGTTGTGGATTAGAAGGATACTTCCTTGGATACATGGGCTGTCCACCCCCACTGGTTGTGCGACCCTCAGCGTAATCTCCATTTTTCAGAATTTAGCTAGTTTAGGCACCGTGTGTTTTTCTGGAGTCCTGAGGTCAGCCTGGTCAAAGACTGCCCCCATGTCGTCATCACCACAGACAGTAACCTCCTTCGTGGATCAGAGAGAGATTTGCCAGCACGCGACTAGTTTGGTAACAGGATGGTCGTGGATCCTAGTGGGCTTCTTGGTGAAAACGCCGACCTCTTTTTCGGCTTAGGAGATTCTGCTGGAAGGATAAATCTCCCCACTGTACACCGTGGCTCAACACCTAAGAACACCTCCCAACAACGATGAGGTGGTAAACCGTTGGGAGGGGGTTAGAAGGAGATTTTCTCATTTGCTATTTGGTTTCCTACAGAACGTTGCTGGCTTCTGGCATTGGTTTAGTTTTTGCCAGGATTACGATAGCAATATCCAATATTCCTTCCCTGCTTAATTGACCTTGTTTACATATTGTTTTTCCACATTTACCAACATAACTTCTGATAAGACGGTGAACTGTTTCCTTCACGCGACCCGTCTTCATATATACTGTGTGGATCTCCGCACTAGTATTCAGTTCGTTTCCTCTCATCCATCGTTCACAAAGGTGGAGTATTGACGACTTTTCTGTGGATGTCATTGAATGTTAGTCGAGTTGATTCTCGCTGGAGTTCAGGAATTAAGTGGTCTAGAGCGTTCTCACTTGGATCGTTGTTATCATTATTATTATCGTTATTATTACTACTATTATTATTTACCCAATCCGTCTTGACATCCAGTTTTCGTGTTCCAGAACTTCTTGCATTCAATTCGTTCCATCGGATCCATAATCCACGAAGATCTTTGAACTTTCACGTATGAATTCGTCTTTTGCTTGATCTTCCTCCTTATGAATACCTTGGAATGCAGTTCGACTCGACTCTCCGTCGAATCCTGAGATAACTGTACTGAAACGTTTTCACATGTATTGGCTGTATGTTTGGTGATCCCAAACTTGTCTGATACCAATTTTCCGATCCTGAAGGGACGACGTGCTTAATGAGCCCAAGGCGTGCTCGAACCAGCGCCATGCTTGCAACGAATGACATCACTACCACTAGGCTACCCTTTCCACTCACGCTTAGATTGGTAGAAATGACCTTTTCCAGAGAAGCATAATACCAATTTCCCAATCCCGGAGAGATGAGATGCTTGGTCATCCTGGGGTGAAATCGAATCAGCACCGTGCTCATGATGAACGACTGCTACTAATCTACGCGACTCTTGGTAAACTACGTTGTACCAAAATTAGAATATTGGAGTAAAAAAACAAAGAATAAACCTCTCGTCGTTGATCAATTTGTGAGGTATGCTCCATGCATTCGACTTCATAAAGCATTGTTTGGAGGTGATTGAATGTCTTCACATGTGCTTCATATCTGCTCTTCACAATGACTCGCACCTGCCTACCGATGTATCAAACCAGTGCTGCAATCCTCCCAGACATGTCTGGTATCAATTTTCCTACCCCAGGGTGATGCAAGGCTCGGTGAGCCATGGGTGTAGGGATCGATCCCAAGTGTATTTCAGGGCGCCTCCAACTACTCTGCCATAGCGCCTTCGGTTAGAATAAGAAAAGACATCTGAAAAACTTTTCGAGTTAGATCTGATTTAGAAAAGTTTATGTGATGTTGGAAAAAATTTTATGAGGTTTAATTTCTTTAAGTTAATCAGGTATATTGTACAATAGCTTTAACGCAGTGTTATGTTGTTCAGGGACCGTTCGTGCACATGGGTGCGATTGTAGCCTCGCTTCTGACCAAGGCAACTTCGGCCTGTCAGTACAATGCATTTTTTTCCAACGAAGGTCGGCAGATGGAGATGCTTAGTAGCGGATGTGCCGTTGGCATTGCATGCACATTCTCGGCGCCAGCTGGAGGTGAACATTCATGAAAATTAAACAGAGTAGCAACGACGGACTAGTTCTGATTTTAGAGCCTGCTCATGTGCACCTATTGAATGCAGCGCTCTCATTCACTCCAAGGGTGTATTATATGACACGATATTGTCGATTTTTGGTTCGAACTACTGATTTGGGTAACCTCACCAGTCGGGCGAAGATCCTGTATCTACCTAGGATTGGCCAATAAATGCCACACTCATGTTTTAATGATAACACTCTGATGCGTTAATCTTTTTGATTCTGAAGACTATTACATAGACGTATTTATCTCTTAACTATTTCTTCAACCTTACCTATGCTGAAATATAGCTGTGAAATACAAGTCTCCTTTAGCTGTTCTCTACGGTATCGAGTCAACTTCAAAATATTTTGCCGTGAAAAACTATTGGCGTTCGTTTTTCGCTACCACTTGTGCAGCGCTAATTTTCCGTTTTGCCATCGCTGCCATTGTTCCGCAGCATATTGGTAGGTTCCAGGTGTAAGTCGTTGTAGGTTGAACATTCTCAAATTGCTTTTTTTTCCAGCTGGTACTATAACGGCATATTATCAGACGAACTTTCCAAATGAAGTGTTTCTCATAGAAGAAATTCCACTATTTGCTCTATTAGGGTAACTTTTCTTAGGATAATTACTTTCCTTCTTATGAATAGTTTGATACTTTATTTCTTCACAACGAAATTTGCCAAGTATTACAGAATTTGTTGCGGTTTGATGGGTGCCAGCTTCATTTGGCTGCATCGCCGTCTGGCCTTATTTAGAAAACGCAACCGAGCACTTAAGGCCGTTTTCGGAAGAAGGTAAATCGTTCCATTTCTCATTTCACTTTGAAGGGAAGTTGTCACTAGGGATCAACACGGCGCTCTACATAATGACACGCTTTCGGTGAGTATATCAGTAAACGTGTGCAAGAGATTACTAAATTTATAGACAAGATCGCGCACTGGAGCTGCTCACTAGGATTCGTTTGCTCAGTGGACGGGAAAAATGCCAGACTTCTAGTGTTTCCTTCAATTTTACACTTTTCGTGGCGAGAAGGAAGCCATGCGTAGCTCTTCATGCTAAGCCATTGTATAGGTTAACCTTAGAAAACATCCTGATAGATGTGCACTTGCTCTTGCCTTAGATGACTTCGTTAAGTTAGATTAATCTCCGATGAAGATCACCTTGCCTAACCACCCCGCTGACCACTGTAAGTCGGCATGCCGTCGAAGGTTGGGTACGAATAGGAATTGGCAAAATGGGTTGAAATAAATCGTCAAATTCACTGTGTACCTTCGCTTTCATGCAGATCAATTTTCCCTCATTATAGATTTTAAGGAAAATCCATGCACCCCTTCAGAGGATATATGGTTTTTTTTCATAATGTAGAAATGCTGCTCTTCCTCTTAGGTAACCGCAAGAAGTTTTTCTTTGTTATTGAGTCAACTTTTTTTAATTTACTTTCACAGCATCTTTAAATCTTCAAAGATTCTAAGTTTTTATACTCCATGATTCAATCATTACTTCATTCTACAGGGTATTATTTCTTACGTCGTTCTTCCATGCTACAAAAGATATGGAAGTCGTGCAAAAAGAATATGAATTTTATTCATTATTATATACGCTACAAGGGCGCATGTGGCGCAGTGGTCGAAGACGCCCTTTAACGCATACGTGGAATCGATCCCTTGCCCATGGCGCACCAAGCCTTCCATCTCTCCGGGGTCGACAAATTTGTACCAGACTTGTATACAACATTAGACCGCCTCCAGTCATTATAAAAGCGTGATATGCATTCAATCACCTGCAAACGATGCTTAATGAAGTCGAATACGTGGCGCATACCTGGGGAATTGATCAACGCCGAGTGCTTTTTTGTTACATATGTTCTAAGGCCCATTGCATCATATTTGATCCTCATATAATATTATTGAGCATTCTTACAGCCCTATAGCGTTTACCACGTTGATTGCTATGATAGTTGCCATTTTGACGTATCCGGAAGGATTCGGGCGATATGTTGCTGGACAGGTAAATAAAAAAACTACTTTTTCCTAAAATTTTTTAACGAAGAATTTAAGGCAGATCCTTAATACGTTCAAAAATTTTTTAAAAAGGGTTCTTTTCGCTATATTCGACATTTCTGACACGTTCAAAAATATTGGAAGTAAAGTAAATCAACACTTTATTTCAACGTCATATTAAGCAAACAAGGCGATAATGTATGGTCTAATCATAGTCTCCTGGGAACATGTAGTGCACATTTGTTAGAGCGACCCTGCAATGCACATGAGTTCTATCACGAGCAAGGCTCACCAAGCGTTCCATCTTTCTGAGGTTGCCAAATTGATACTGGACCTGTTTGGGAGGATAGCAGCACTGGCTCGATGGTGGGCCACCACGAGTCCATCTGTAGGCCAGATATGCATTTAATCCCCTCTAATGATGCTTGATGAAGTCGAAAGTATGGTGCATCTCAAAGAGGTTGATTAACGCCGAGAACTTCATCTTTTTATCATAGTGTACTTACTTCATATGGTTTTTTAAATCACTTTTTTAGTTAACTTTTCGCGAAACTTTGGCTGACTTCCTGGCAAACTGTACGTTTTCACTTACAAACGTAAGTCGACAAGGTTGTCCACACGAGATGATCTCGCACTGGACTGGTGGTAGCAGTAATGAATTCCATCCACTGCTTACATTGTTCTGCTACCTTGTGCTCTATGTCAGTTTTGTGATACCCTTTACACTTATAAACGATAAAAAGCAAAAAATATTCCATCTCATGATATTTCATGGTGGTTTCATGTTTACTTCTTAAGCTTTTCTGAGATATTTTCAGTATTCACTGGTAGCTGTTTGCGTTTCGTTGTACATTCCTGCAGGAATTTTCGTGCCATCGTTCGTCATCGGAGCTTGCGGAGGGCGAATTGCCGGCGAGGCTAGATTTAATATCTTTTTCAAATAAAACTTCTCATGACAAAGAGTTTGAATGCCTTCAGATTTTGATTATGTGGTGGCCGAATGGTTTTCGCGGTAGCGATGGCCCACAAATCTACCCTGGTCTCTATGCCGTTGTTGGTTGGTTTCACTCCCCTTCTGAATTAACAGTATGATTTTTATATCAAACATAGAAGCATTTGGAAACAAAAAAGCGAAACAGGGCTATGGTATTTGTACGGGTCTCAGCTGAAAGGATCGTTCGGGTTTTGAATGTTTTAAGCTTGATCAGTTTTCTTCTCATGAAACTATGTCGTGTCATTATTCTAGGTGCTGCGGCGTACACCGGTGCCGTAACGCATTCACTGTCGATTGCTGTTATCGTATGCGAAACCACTGGACAGCTTTGTGCTCTATTACCTGTTTTGGTAATATTTTCTACCACTGAAAGAAGTGTTTGTACTCCACCCACCCATCCGAAACTGGTTGTTTCTCTATAATGGTATGCTTATAGAAGTGAATGTGGAACGGAGCTAAAAAGCTATCACTGAAGTAGATGTAGAACCTCTGAGCGATAAGACTCCCTCAGAATAGGTTAAGCGAGATAGTAAGTAATAAGATGTCATACTCATTTGGATAATTGGATCACTCGTGTGCAATCCATAGTGGTATACAGAGAATCAACTGAGCTTTCAACTAATTTATGCTTTTCATTTGTCCGTTTTCCGCTATGGAAAGCAAGCGATGACAAAATTTCTTTTAGTGATCGCAAGTCTATGGGTGTTTATCCTCATACGGCTATTAGGTCCTATTTTCATCTTATTTTTTCCCCTTTATTTTTTATCTGGTTCCTGCCCACTGGGTACCAGGACTCATTGTGTAAAGCAGTTCAATGTTCGTTTCTTTAACAAATTTCTGATAAGTGGAACTCGTATGTGAAAATGTGGTGCTGAACAACGTTGAGCATTTTTCTCTCTACACTTTAGATTGGGGTCGGAATATTTAATAAACATCTGAGTAATAAAATATATTACATGTAGAATTTCGTTTTGTAGATCGCTCTTATGATTGGCAATGCAATCTGCAGTTTTCTTCAGCCCTCAATCTACGAAAGCATCATAAATATCCAAGGTTACCCTTATCTAACGGATCTTCCACCAAGTCGCCTCAGGTACCGGCATATTGTTGCATTGGAATCACGTTTTTTTATCACCGTGATTTCTTTGTGAAAGTTATAATTAGATTATGAGGTTATAAAGTTTTAGAACAAACATAGGAAAAACGTAACCTAACAGTGATTTCTGGTTTAGTGTCCACACCATGAAAGTGGAAAAAGTGATGGTGAAGGACATTGTGTTTATCACTCCAGATACCACTTACATGGAGTTAAGAGAGATCCTACTCGATACACCGTATCTCAGGTCGTATCCGTTCGTCACTGATAAGAGTAAGTATTTTTAAAAATCACGAGCCACTGAAGCTATAATCGAAGGGACATCTCAAAAAAGGGAGTGCATGGAACTGAGCTGGTACTTGCTGATGTATAGAACAATGACCGAAATGAAATGAAAATCTACTCGCTATTGTCTCAAACATGTTTGAAAACGTCTTCTTCTTCTTCTTCTTCTGTAGAACATAAAAGCGTATCTAACAATGAGATTATTGCCAAAAGTTGGAGATAGCAGTATCGTCGAAATTTTTTATTTTTTAAATAACAGTTATTATTAGCTTCCACCATCGACCTTATTTTAAGGGGTTATTTGTCGGTTGTTAAGTTCTTGATGAGCCGATATTGCGGTTTCATGCAACAGTCGTTCGACTACATCCAGTCTAAACACGAAGTTTCTGTAACGAAATGGTTAGCGACGGAGTGTAGAGGTTCAGATTAATGTAGAATATTAGCCATGCAAATCTTTTGGTTGATGTATTGATCTATCAGCCCCAAACTTTGGTAATTAAACCTTTAATTCATAAATACAACATTAATAACATAATAGTAACAATAGAGAAGTAATGGCAGAGGACTGACGCGAGTTAAAAGCTCTGATGTGCTAAGGCTTGTAGTGAAGTGAGGCTACCAACGAGATAATGGCATTCGAATATTAATGTATCACTAATACAATATTAACAGTAATAATTAATGATTACAAAGAACTAACCGTCATCCGCGGCCATTCTGGAACACTCGCCGCCTCAGCATACTGTCTCCCTCTCCGCGGCACACAGTCTCTTTTCTCCGCCCCTAACATACTGTCTCCCTCGGCCGCCGCACAGGCCGCAGATGCCACGCCGCGTCATCGCGGAGAGGGAGACAGTATGCTGAGGCGGTGAGGGTTCCAGACTGGCCGCGGATGACGCGGCGTGGCATCGCTCGCGGCTAACCAACGGTTACTTCTTTGTAATCATTAATTATTACTGTTAATATTACAATCTTAACTCTCTTATTTACTGCCTTTCTCTTCTTAATGGCAGGGTATGTTGTGAAATATAACTCGTATGAAGTGCTGAGATATCTGCAAAACTCCGGACCACAGGTGTATGCAGTGGGGAACGAACACGCGCTGTCGTCCTTACCGGGGAGCAGCGCACTTCACCACTACACCATCCGGGTCCCGGTGGTCCGGAGTTTTGCAGATATCTCAGCACTTCATACTGTTAATATTGTATTAATGATACACTAATATTCGAATGCTATTGTCTCGTTGGTAGCCTCACTTCACTACAAGCCTTAGCACGTCAGAGCCTTTAACTCGCGTCAGTCCTCTGCCATTACTTCTCTATTGTTACTATTATGTTATTAATGTTGTACTCATGTATTAAAGGTTTAATTACCAAAGTTTGAGACTGATAGATCAATACAACAACCAAAAGATTCGCGTGGCTAACATTCTACATCAATCTGAACCTCTACGCTCCGTCGCTAACCATTTCGTTACAGTTTCCGCTCATGAGAACAATAAAGGTTTTATTTGCCTAGCAAATGGCCTGTTCGATTACACATTTTCGTTAACTGCACAACTGTTTCGTTAACAAAACGCTAGAGTTAAATTAATTTAAGGACCCGCGTGGTGTCGTGGTGAACGCATTAGACTCCGGAAAGGGTAGTAGCGAGTTCGTTCCCCACCGCAGACAGCTGCTGTCCGGAGTTTTGCAAATATCTCAGCACCACTGTGGTTGTGTTTCGAATAATACCCTGCTATAAAAAATTGCAGTAGAGAGCAAATAAAGGGTTAATATTGCTAAATTTAAATTTTAGTCTTATCATTGACGAGCTTGCGAAATATCAACCGTCTTGATTAGAAATCACCCGAAAGCCTTATATCTTCGACAACAATGTTGGTTTTTTACTTTTATCCCCAAATTTTAATCTTTATCCTGACATTTTTATATTTTCCTATATAACTGTTAAACATGTAATTATTATTGTCTGAATCGCTTAGCTCACTCTCTACTCTGGTAGAGAATGGAAAGCCATCAGGGAGCATACCAATCCCACGTGTAGACCTCGCAAGCTGTACGTCGGTATCAGAAAGCTAAACACGATAAACTAAGTGGACCTCATTCTGACTTCGAAAGAGCCCCCAGAAGGGCGCGTTGGGTAGGACGAGTAGGGAGAGTTCAAATCTCAGAGTCACTCTAACGCAAAGAATTAAGATGGAAATCCGCACCCATAATGCACGCACACTTGCATCTTAGTCCTCGATAGAAGATTTGGTCATGCAGACAACACTCATAAGGTACAGTATCATCGAACTGGCCAACGCCACCCATTCAAAGCCGTCTATGACACAGGAGAAGAACTGTTCCTCGGAACATGACTGTAGAGGAGTCGGTCGTCAACACGAGTTTGGAAATGAGCATCGATTTATTCGAACAACTAACAACCCGAATCCAGGACGTTTACGTTTGAAGAGATGTGGATCAATTCCGGCTTTGACAATCTTCGTCGTTTACGCACCCACATCAAACTGTGGTGAAAAAGAAATCGAAGCCTTCTAAATGAACTTGGAGAATTTCTACAGAGAAGACCATATATTCTTCAAGGTCATTGAGATTTCAGCGCCAAGACTGGACCAAGAAGAACGTCTGGTTAGAATGGAACGAATAGAGTGAGCCGCTATCTGAGTTAATTACGGCAATCAAGACCATCCATTAGTAACTCGCAATTCCAGAAGCCCCACCATCAACGCTGGATGTGGGAGTCTCCCGATGGAGAGTACCATAACGAAATAGACCACATCATAGTAAATCGAAGCTTTTGCTTTACCGATGTCGCTGTTATCCCAAAATCTTACATGGGATCAGATCATCGCCTAATCTGCGTTAGATTTCACTTCTGGCGGAAAGGAGAAAAAGCGGCTGAATTCGAATAACGAAGCCACAAAACCAACGCAAACGTCCAATAACGTTCAATAGACACGTCCATATGCCCTAATATGAAATAAAGTTGGATGAATATGTTATACCACCGGTTCCTCTTTCCGAAACCGGACAAACTGCGGTGAGAAATCGAACAACATCAGGTCTGGACAGGATAAGATCTGAAAATCTGAAGAACCTACGGCTAGTCCTTAGCAATACATTGGCTCGCCTGTTCACACGTTACCTGTCGAGAGAGAAGTTCTCTATATGCAGTAGATAAAGCACCATGATATATTGTTCGCCATACTAATCTGTCGGTATCGATATCAACACCACAGCAACTATTACATTGTCTCTATCGAACGTCTCCCTTATGTGGATTTTTAACTGTCAAGTGGTCTAAAGGTGTATAGGAGTTGGAAGTGCATCCCAAAAAAATGTGCGAATGGAACGTAGCATGAAAAATGTGGATGTTAAATAAACTCCAAATCTGTACGCTAAAATTCAAACCATTAAGTTGAGTCTAACTTCAGGATCAATGATTCTTCTGGGCAGTGTTGCTCGTAAGTATCTTTGCTATCTTCTAACAAAGCATCTCGGTCCCGAACCTGGAATTCTACAGCAAAAACGAAGAAGTCGCACAGCCTCCGAACTTTTGAACACAATAGGGCAATTCAGGTTGGTTATATGCATCAGTTGAAGGAGTGATGAAGATAGATTGGATTTTCTGTCCTTCAGTCATCAACAAGTTTGCCTAGTTAAGGGTTATAATGAAATGGGTTTCCAAAGTGCTGGTAAACGGATAATGCGCATTTGTGTTTAAGAAAACGATAATTGAATAAATTTTTAGAAAGGTGTATAAAAGAGAAAAAGTTTCAGGGGTAAAAAATATTTATTGAAAGAAGCAAATAAAAGGAAATCAAATAATAAAAGGGGATATCATGGATTCGTATTTCCTTCACCAATAAATATGCGGGCTCCTTTTTTAAAATTCGATGCCTACGATATACATGGGGTTTTCCTAGCTATTGTTTTCATATCCGAAGCCTGTGAATTTTGGCGAAACGTTCGGCTTATAAGCTTAGGATAAAAAGGCTGCGGTTTACCGTTCCGCCTTTGCTTCAATGTTATTCTTCATCACCATGAGATTGAGAAAAAGACGCAAATAGTTCAGCGTCCAATTTTTTCTTTTATTCGTTTCAGAAGAGGGTCGAATTTGAACTTCAACGCGCCCAATAATGGGTCTTTAACCCAGGCCATCCTGACAGACAGAAATATCAGCGGAAATACACTGTTGGCTCACTCACCACTTCATGACGACCAAGGCGATAGAGGGCCGCTTGCGCCACTCCTATATAGTCAAACCGAAACGCATGACGTTCCAGTGGTAAGTCATCACTCAACAGCAAAACATTAATGCAAAGTGCATCGGAAAGTGATAGTAATGATTGGGATGGATGATATTAAAGAAAACGTTAATACAGAAATACAAAACTACTCTAATAAAAAGAAACAGTTTTGTTTCAGCACACTTTGGCTCAACGAGTACAGATTTTGGCATCGAAAATCGACCTGGATGATGTAGCGATTGATCCAGCACCATTTCAACTCGTTAAAGGAACATCACTTTATAAGGTGATTAGCACTTAAATTCAGTAAATAACTTAACGTTAGGTAACTTCCAAGTCCGACTTTCTATTAACCTCGGCATTGATTGAATATCTCTTTCTACTTCTGTTCAGCAAACACGAGGTGCGGTGCTATTTTATTTCTTTATTTACGCACAAGCTGACTTTTCGGCGGATTTAGCCTTCCTCAGAGCCCACCCACTGTTCTCCTCCAGGGGCGGTGCTCCAAATACTGAGCACAATAGTTTTCCTTCTTCTTGCACTTCTTCCACTTAGCGAACATATGGTTTTGTCTGCTTCGTAGACAGGTGCGCAGTACTTGCAATTCGATGTCCAGTAACGTTAGGTTGCACATCCACAGTGGTCCACATTTAAGCCAATGCACTTCATTTCTGTCCATTTTTTAGCGCGTAGAAATTTCTCTGTTAGATCTTTCATATTCAATCGACAGCCTTTCCACCACCGATTTAGTTCCAAGCACCTGCCAGGAAAACTGTTCGGTTCCCTTAAAATTCCACACAAGACGGTTTTTTCGAAGAGCTTTTTCGTATTGCCTCAGAGACTCCGCTGGACCAAAGATTAACACTTATGAGGAGCGTTGCCGTGACATCACTACTCTACCAATACAATACAAATATGAAGGCGTCGTTTTCTTGTTCAGCAATGGCGAGGTTGTTAAACAGCATACATTTACTTCCATAGAAAAACATAATACAATACAACACTAGCTGACGTTTCGGCAGTATCGCCTTCTTCAGAGCCTGGAAGGGTATACTGGTATACAATCTACTAGGCCAAACGCTTCAATAACACTTACAAGAAGACAAAAAACTGTGGTAACTACATGATCAACAGCTTCTTGAAAAACTCACCGCTTTTTACACGACTTCCAATGAGGAAGTTTAAAACAGCTAATTATAGTCGCATATGGTTGATGACTGCACCATCCCACATCAGAAATCGATGCGAACATACGGGGTCAGGTCGCGTATGACCTCCGGGCATTCATCCCTGCTATTCATTGCAGGGTTTTTGGCATTGATCCAAAAATCCTCAAGGAGTTTTCGCGCTGGTATTTTAGTCTCCTGTGCAAGGATATTGACTTTTACTTCAAAATCGTCTCCGCTATGCTTTTGTATCCTATGTGTGCCTAGTGGGGTACTTTGTCTTAGTTTTCGTTTGCCATCTAGGTGTTCTTTTATACGGTTCTTTCATTCGATGTTCGCATCAATTTCTGATGTGGGATGGTGCAGTCGTCAACCGCATGCGACTATAATCAGCTGTTCTAGTCTTCCTCATTGAAAGTCGCCCAAAAAGCAGTGAGTTTTTCAAGAAGCTGTTGATCATGTAATTACCACAGAGTTTTTCGTCTTTTTGTAAGTACTATTGAAGCGTTTGGTTTACCAGATTGTACATTAGTATACCCTTCCAGGTTCTGAAGAAGGCGATACTGCCGAAACGTCAGTTAGTGTTGTATTATATTGTATTCTTTCTTTGATCAGCTGACACGAAGTTGATTATGATATTTATTCATTTTCGGCTAACGTTTCGACATCTTCGTCTTCCTCAGTGCCGATGATCCGAGTCGATGGTCCACGCTTGCTGTTGGTCTCGACGTTGCAGCTTCGCCTTCGTGTCGAGTCAGGTCTTCCTCAGTGAGCCATCTTCTCCAATGAGGGTCATCAAAGAAAGAATACATATTGATTATTGATACCGAGGTTTAAGGAAAGTCGGTTTCGAAATATTACTACGCTTTGTGCTAGCTGATAAAAACACCAACTTCTGCACGATGTGCGCAATGATGTATGTCCGGAAGAAATACAAGTTGTTACCACCGGACATTATCATTATATCCACCATCTCAGCATCGTGTATAAAAGGGCATCACTGTGTGAGGATGCCTCATTCGAGAAGAGCTCACCTGGAAGACCTGACTCGACACGAAGGCGAAGCTACAACGTCGAGACGAACAACAAGCATGTACCATCGACTCGGATCATCGGCTCTGAGGAAGACGAAGACGTTGAAACGTTAGCCGAAAATGAATAAATATCATTATCAACCTCGTGTCAGCTCATCAAAGAAAGAATACATATCGAGGTACTATATTGTGTTTCTCTATGGACGTAAATGTATGCTGTTTAAAAACTTCGCGTTTGCTGAGCAAGAGAATGGCACATTCGTATTCTTATGCCGAGGTTACTAGAAAGTCGATCCTGGGAACAATACAAATACATGAGTCGCTGGGCGATTCTTTGCTTTTCGCATCGACCGAGCAATAGAGGCTATTGCTAATAAAGACGATACATGATGTCCCTATGTTCTTCCTTTGTAGGACCATGGTTTCAGCGAAAACGCGGCTTTCCATGGAAACCATGGGCAGCGAAAAATTATGTGTTCAGGAAAAAATTAAGTGGAAGAGTGTGAACCAATATCTTGTTTTATTGATAAACTAGAAAGTGGTTGATATAAAACTTTATTCAGCTAGCTTTCCCGTTTAGCATGTTTATAAGAACGGCGATGATCGAAGTAAATTTTCCACAGAGGTTCAGTTTTGCGATTTGGGTTTTCGTTGTGGCATCGAATCGTCTGAAACGGAGCGTCGCTCAAATGAGATAACCTCACCGGACAGGATGTTCCGTTAGCTGAATGAAGTTTTATATCAACCTCGAGTGAGCTTACCAATAAGGCAAGACACTGGTCTTTCCCACTGAGGTTAAATTAAAGTGAGTTTACAGAGTAAAACCAGAGTAGCACATCATAAACCATTTCAATGTTTAAGGTTCATACATTGTTCTCGTTGTTGGCTTTGAATCATGCATACGTTACGGAGAAAGGACGCCTGGTTGGTGTGGTTTCACTGAAGGAGGTAACGTTTTACTTTTTAAGGTTTTTCGTTCCACATGTTTCGTTCCTAACAAACTTGTGTGAAAACAAAAATTTGTAGAATGTGAAACTGCAATAGCAACAACAATAATATGGAAACTGCTAGTAAAAAATTAAAAAAATAAATATTTCATTGTGAAAACAACTAGATAAATGCAAATGTTTAAAAAAGGATAAAGCTCTCGGCATTGTTCAAACCCTGAGGGATGCACCATGCATTCGACTTCACTAAGCATCGCTAGAGGTGATTGAATGCATATTTGCCTTTTACAATGACTCGAGGTGGTTTACCAGTACATCAAGCCAGTGCTGCTACTCTCCCGGACAATTCTGGCACCAATTTGCTAAACACAGAGGGTGCGAGGCTTGGTGGACCTTTGGTGAGGGGATCGATCTCTCGTGTGTGTTGCAGGGCGCCTCTGCGCCATACGCGCTCTAATACATCAGTGTTTTTTCTACATGAACTTATGTCGGAATTCATAATGCGCGGATCCTAGCACTTCCTGATTTGATTCATTTTTCGCGAACACCATCCATGAAGGTTTTCGACCTTTTGCATGTGGGCTCGGCTACTGCTTATAGATTGCTGTTTTGTTTAAAAATTTCCCCGAACGGGGTTCAGTCAATTCTCCGTGGAGTCCAAAGATAGCCGGGTTAGAGGGTTTCCACTTAGCTTGCAGGAAGTGGATGCTTCCCACATAAGTCTGCCAATTTTACGACCGCGGAAGGATAGGAGGCCTACTGAGGTGGAGCGCAAAGCAAATTGGAGATAAAACATAGACTTAATCCTTTTATTTACTGCCTTTTTCTTTTTAATGGCAGGGTATGCTGCGAAATATAACTCGTATATAATGCCGAGATATTTGCAGAACTCCGGACCGCAGATGTATGCGGTGGGGAACGAACGCGCGCTGTTGTCCTTACCGAGGAGCAGCGCACCTCACCACCACACCATCCGGGTCCTCCGTTCCGCGATGCTCCTCGGTAAGGACAACAGCGCGCGTTCGTTCCCCACCGCATACATCTGCGGTCCGGAGTTTTGCAAATATCTCGGCATTGTATACGAGTTATAAAACATAGATTTTCAGTTCACAAAATACTGTTTTACATTCTTTATTAATACTATACTACTGAGTAAGGAACTATACGCAAATCTAATCGACTACCTTTTTATAGATTTAGTAAATGGCTATTTATAGAATAGCTGAGATGCTAACTAGTCGAGAGAACACACCGAGTAGCGTTAGTGTGATAAGCACTTTACAAACTCGGAACTTTTTGGAGCATTAAAGATGTTCGTTTGGCTGAGAATGAACATCAAAAATAAGTCCATATTCCGCCGTCATGAGATTTACTGGAAGGCCTATCTTTCTGCGGACGTTGTCACCATTGGTTAGTATCCGTTCCTACTTGACTGCTTCTTGATGTTCTAGGAAGAATATTAGCAACAAAGCAAAGGTGATGTAGCTGAAGGTTGTCGATTTTAACTACCCTGTCCTCTCATTCCAGTTTTCGCATCACTTTCTCGAAGGTGTTTGTACATTACTGTGATACGCATTTATGATATTGTCAACGTCCTCTTTACGTCATTGAGTTTCGTTTTCATGTAAGGATAGTCTGTCATACTAAATAATTTTCAAAACCCTGTTCGCACACACGACAGTTCTTTGCCCAGTGTCCGATCAATCATCTTAAGAATGACTGGATACAACAGGCATATTGAGCAATATTGTCGATTTAGTGTAAGTTTATCTAAACACTCCCGACCTATTAACACTTACGATACCGTCTACGGCAACAATGCAACGACCTGGGAAAATCCTGGCACGAACTTCTCGGTCTTACAGGAAAAGTACGATGCTGAAATATTTGGTCTACTATTTTATAAAAAGAAGTGGGTGTTTCAAATACTGCTTGTGTCGGACTGGAGCTTGATCCATTTTTGAATTAGAGCAGTATATTTTCTAAGACTTCACTTATAAACTGATATTCATAAACTTTTGTGAAAAATATAGCTAATAAATCTACTTGTAGCTGCGAGAAGCGTTATCGAATATCTACTCTCGTGGTGCGGTGCCTATCCGTCCGCGTGCTAAGAAGATTTCCACGTACCGAGTCGCAGTCACTTCTAGGTGTGCTGAGGAAGAGGACGAAAACGCCACGCCACAAGTTAACGCCGCAATGCCCGTCAACAACACATCGACTGGTAACGCATCCTGAAAAAATCCTAATATCGCAATGTTTTTTTAGTATAATGGAGTTTTGTGAATGTCAGAGTTATTGTCTTGCTCAGCAACATGACCGGGTTGGAAACTGTGGAACTCACACTGAAACGCCGTTAAGGCAATGAATGTGTGAGAATAACTCCGAAATCTTTCTGAAATCTCGTCAACTTCTTATGTTCTATAGACAGTAACTCTGTTGTCTTTTTTTACAAAATGCCCTTGTTGAGCCGATGGAATGTTACTATAAGTTGTCGTTTTTGTCGGTGTTGCTGTGGTACGATGCCTGACGTTTCAGCGACCTCGCCCTCATCAGAGCGTTGACTTCTTTTATGTAACAATAGCCTTACAATTCGGTGAAATATCTATAGTACTGAAAAAGATCTAACACATAAATAAATGCCATTTTGTTTAAGAAATCTCTCACCGTGTTGTTGCGTATGGGACCTCCCGTGTATTGTTCACATAGGATAACGAGTGGGACCAATATATGTCAGAAAATCAGTTTGAAAAAAGGCGCAAGTTCGTGCGTGGTGATGAGGCATTCGTCCTTCCGGTTTATTTTCAGACTTTCGAAATTTCTCCAAGAGTCTTGCGTGTTGATGTTTTCGATTACAAAGCTCGGATCATGATAGTCACTTCAAAATCATCGCCATTGTGCTTTTTTGCCCTAAGTGGCTCTAAAAGAGTACTTTGGCGAATTTCAAGCTTCCCAATGTTCTTTTATGCAGGTACGAAACGGTCTACCCTTTCCCTCTCCTCTATGTGTTTTTCATCCATGCCTTACATTAGAATAAATGTGTTTTACCTGAACTCGTGCAATCTCTTCTCTGCCGTTAAGATAAATTACACAATTTTCTTTTCTGCACAAACGATCAAACAGGCGGTAGCGGATTAAATGAGGACGTAAGGTATTGAGTGTGAGGTCAATAACTGCCGCAGAATTTTCAAGATCACATTTTCTTAGACACCTGTTAATGGCGAAACTTATTTCGTTTGATACGAAGGGTAGCTTGAAAGGGATATCACTTAGATTTGAAACATTATTTTGGGAAATCATTCCACCGTTTCGTATGACCCGAGTGGCTACTGCTTCATAGCCATTGGAAATGGTTATTTTCCGCGGCAAAAATAGCGATTCCTGCAAAGAGAAGGCCTTTGCTCTTTTCCTGTGCAAACGTTTTTAGCTGTTCGGCACAGGTTTTTAATATTAATTCTTCTTTCATGTGCGTAGGATAAGAGGAGAGGTAATCGAAACTTCTTGTTCCTTACTTTTCGATACCATTTTTTTTTCGATACGCAACAAAGCGTAGCCATCGTCCCTCAGCAACAACGCATACCTACCTCCTATCAGATCATCACGGGCAATTTCTGGAAATATGTATACGTATACCGATTATTTATGTCAAGGTTTATAGAAAGTCGGTCTTGTGAGTTACTGTTCTTTTTGTCCATCTGCCAGACAACTGTGAACATCTCTAAAGTTGGTTTTCTTTTTACAGCGAAACAATAGACTGTATGCACAGCGTTGATATGTAAAAAGCCAATAGGTGTAGTTATGTAAAAAAAAATAATCGAACTATTGTATATAAAACCGATTTAGAACTACTCTTATGGCTTTCTTATGCCACAAGCGATACATATTCATACCGATACGGAACTGTACAGAAAAATTTGACAGATACCAACATTTTCCGATCAATCTTAAACGCACCTTGAAATTCATGTACTTCATATGGTGTAGATCTGTTTCCCATTTCCTATTTCAAGGTGGTGTTCAGAGTTAATTTTGAGTGACCAAAAATGGATAGCGCTAAATTTCGTTGTCGGTTTGCTTTTGCTGAATTGTTGCAATCCTGTCTATATCGAACTTCTCGTGAAGCCTTCTGATTATGCATGCGATCAACACGAACTATATTTGTTCTTTTCTTTGAATCTTTTATGATATAACAAGCATTCATAGATATATGATATAACAAGCATTCATTTACATCATATGACTGTATCTCTGAATACTTCCATGATCAACCTCCTCATGGTCTGTCATTATGTTGGTGTATTGATAAGCTTATATAACGTTTATTAAACGTTATGGTGGCTAACGTTTCGTGGTCACGGTCTTCATCAGAACCGCCAGAATTCCTCGAGAGAACCAACAGCTGTGGACAGTCGACTCGTATTGTAGCGGCTCTAAAGAAAGCACTGGAACATTAGCTCGCGACACTGTAGTTTTCGCTTTTGTTGCCATTACGTAACTGACCATATCATGTCTTACATTCTGGAGTTTTGGTTGGTTACTGTCTTGTCCATGTTCAACAAAATCTGCAGAATTTTGGTATAAATGTGTTATAAACCTTTTATACAGAATTATCGTCATGACGAGATTATGCGGTGTAATGAGTCGTGGTGAGCCTTGTATTTTTCTTTTATGCCTATACAATATTCTATTTCGGTTCTATTTTGACCAAATTTAGAGTTAAGCTCTGAACTTTATGATTTCTGATTCTCGCCCTTTGTCATAAGCCGGATGTCTGTTATAGATATTACACTTGATCTGTGTCGAGATTTCTAGAATATCATATTCCATGTGATTTCAAACCTGCACTGACAGCGTTCATCTTTTATTTCTATTGTATAAATTTTATGTTACACTATGTTTCTTTCAAATACATCTTGCACTGCAGAATTCCTCGAAATGTATTGGTAAATATAGGCCCAGATACGCAACGGGCTGTGCTGTGCTTTTTGTTGGTCCCATTCTTCTCTGTTTATTCCTGGACAGAATTTTTCCTCCTATAATTTTTACCCATTACTCAAGCGCTTAGTTGATAGGTTACTGAACATAGATGCAGTACTATGAGTGGCCAGTCGAAACTTGTTTTTTACGCTTAATAATTCACAAGGGCCTTTTTTGAACAAGTTCTTTGACCAGTAATTTGATTGGTAGTTGACTGTTATCTCACATCTGTAGCTGTAATGGATCGTGGTTCTCATACTGAATGGGCAGATTCGAAAGATAACCGAAGTTGACGCAGTAAACCAATTGTGAAGCACTGACAGAAATGTGGCTGTATGATGGAGTATAGTACAATATAGTAGTAGCTTAACTGTTACTTATACGCCTAGAGTGGTTAAGTACAATGTCTTCTATAATTTTATGAATGGAACTTCACCACAACAGTTGGGTTATCCCTCACATAATGAAACTTTGAGTAATTTCTAAACAATGTGATGCTCATTTTTATAACTGGTCTTGGTACTATAGATAGTTTACCTAATTAGTAGCATAGCGTTACATAAAATACATCTAGGATTTCAAGAAGTCGAAGTCGCCGAAATGTCAGTCATCGAATAACGACAACAACAACTTTGACCAACCTCGCTTCAGCTCAACAAGAGCAGCTCGTAAGAATTGGTATCCATGCAGCTTAACTTCATACTTTATGTCCATAATTTTTTTTTCACAGAATGGTACTTTGTTAAATATGACCACAATGATGCTGGAATAATTGCAAAACATGGACCCCACGCCAGATTCGCACTAACAAATACCCTTTCCGGAGGCTTACGTGTTGACCACTGCATCACGTAGGCACTCGCTTTTCCTTTCTCTCGGCATATTTTTTATCCTAACGGTGCCACCAACAGTCACCGGTCGGCGGGAATGAATATCTTAGCACCATTATGGTTGTATTCTACATCATACACTGCCAAGAAGATATAATCGGCCGTAAACAAAAAGGCAAACAGATAAGGCGCCAAATCACATTCGACAGTCCGTCATTCGCCTTCTCGGTTCATTTTTTCCTTTCCATTATACTGCTCATTAATGCTGAGGTTTGTAGAAAGTCGGTTTTCTGAATGATTGATTGTGTATTGTCAAAAAAAGACCTTGAAGGCTGAAAATCAGTCGTCTTCCCAAGCAGCAGCCCCTGCTTATTGCGATGTTCAATATCACGATTGGAACAGCGGTTCAATCTTACAAGCGCTACAGAGCTAACTCGTTTAACAATTGTTGGCTATTTATGTGATGATCTTTTCAGTATATTTTTCGGTCGCATGCTATTTAATTTGTCAACAGTAACTCGTTAGTGCTTTTCGGTTTACTACTAGAAAATTTGAATGATTGACCTTCACGAAGAGTCGCCAACTATCACTTTTCATCTATCTGGTATGTTACTGGCTTGGTAAGCTTTCTTTTCCATGGCATCAAGGGAAACCCCCATACTAAGGCATTCTGAGTTCGTCGTTCAAATCAGTCGCTGGCTGTTGCGCAACAAACGGACATTGCCTACTAGTACCTACTAGCGCGAAAGGGTTCGTGGCATAGGCTCATTTTTAAATGAATTTCAAAACCAAAACGGATCCTTCGGCTTTGATAGTATCGCTACACGCGATTTAGTTTGAAACCATCGCACATCAGTGGCAGCAAGAAATGGATTTCGGGTTTTCTATTGATTTACTAGGATACCTGGATGGCCCATCTTCACTAGTTGTACGGTCCTCAGCATAATCGATTTTCCGAAGTTTTTTTGGTTTAGCTATTGTGTTTTCCTAAAGTCCAGAGGTTAACCTAGCCAGGCAGAAGTCCACCCCAGGTCGTCACCACGACAGGTAGTCGCAACCCCTGTGGATCAGAAGAAGATTTTCAACCATGCGACTAGTTTGATTCTAGTCGATCCTGGTATTTGTTTATTCATAGCTAGACTTCCTGGTATGAAAGCCGGACTACTGCGCAGCTTGGAAGACCCTGCCAGTGGGATGAGTGCCCCTTTGTACATCTCAGTCCGAAACCCAGCAACACCTCCCAGCCACGATGACGCGATAAACCGTTGAGAGGGATGGCTTAATAATGTTCCGTTTATCCCGCTCTTCATTTCCAACAGAATTAGTGCAGTCAGAAAACCTTGCTTAATAAGCGCCTACCTTGGAAATTAGGTAACAGTAATGGAAAAGCCACTGAGCACTCTAAGACGCCGGCTAGATCACAACCGTCTATATATAAAGCAAAACTGCATTATTTGCACTAACGCAAAAGATGGTGATTGCATGAGGTCGGGTACAGCTTATTAAATTTCTTGACGTTTCATCTACTGAAGTTATGAAAGTGTTTGACTGAGTAGTCTGCATGTATGCTGACCTTTCCAGGCTCTGAAGAAAGCGAAACAGCCCAGAGATATTGTAAATAGATAGTGTAATAGCAATTTCGTCTAGCATACAGTGAACTATAGACGAGAAACTTGGATGCATTCAATAATCTTTTCATGTAATGTTTCCTCTAGTAGTTTGTTTAGTTCTTCCTCATATGAGGGAAAGAAAGAAATGGCGATGGACGAAAACAAGGACTAGTGCTTCTCCTTGTTTTTACCCTTTGAAAACATCAACTTCCCTAATTTTTAGGTCAAATCGAGAGTAACGTTTTCTAGTATGTAGGCAGAATAGTTCAACTATGAAGAATAGATGTTTCCAGTTGTCATCCATTATTGAACAAGTTGTGTTTTTAAAAGTGTATTGAATGAATCCTAGACAAGTCATTTCGTCATAAAGTGTCATAGATTATAGCAGAGACTACTACGATCCAGTTGTCAAGCGATTACTTTCATTCCGTCGCTTGCAAATGTACGAGATCCGCTCTCTGGGTCCTCAAAGCTAGAGGGGATGTACCATAGATTATTATCTTTAGCAAAAAATTTTCAGCATCTTTAAGACGAACTACACGATTTAATTTCATTATTTATTTGTTTATGCAACATACGTGCACGCAAAGCACTATAGCGGTGAGTTTGACTATAGTATGCAACAACTTTTCACATCAGGAGATCATAAGCAGAGGAATGAAACGACAATTACAGGTCTATTCAAAACAGTGAGAAAACTGAAGGAGAAAAAATCACTCATTATGTAAATGGACCATCTATCTAAGCAGCAGCGCTCACTTAATGTATTAACTAGGCTATTCGCAATCTGTTGATATCGTAGGCAACAATCCAGGCAACACGTGCTATGTATAACTCTTTCCCTTCCACATTAAAGGATTCAGAATCGCTGCACAGTCGGTGGTGGTACGTCTTGTATCCTAACGGAGTTCATTGTATGTGAGCGGACGAATTCATCTTTTGTCCATTCACATGGTTCACCTCTAATGAAAATCATGAAGATGAGATTGGTGACGAACTGAAATCATAAAATATTCTTCTTGTCATAAAAGTCTGTGTTTTTAAGTATTTTTATTTTCTTGTTCAGCAATCGCGAGGTTTTTAAACAGCATACATTTACTTCCATAAAAACACAATACAATACAACGCTAGCTGACGTTTCGGCAGTATCGCCTTCTTCAGAGCCTGGAAGGGTATGCTGATATACAATCTACTAGGCCAGACGCTTCAATAACACTTACAAGAAGACGAAAGACCTCAACAACTTCTCGAAAAACCCACCGCTTTTTCGTGACTTCCAATGAGGAAGTTTAGAACAGCTGATTATAGTCGCATGTTGTTGACGACTGCACCATCCCACATCAGAAATTGATGCGAACATCGAATGAAAGAACCGTATAAAAGAACACCTAGATGGCAAACGAAAACTAAGACAAAGTACCCCACTAGGCACGCATAGGATACAAAAGCATAGCGGAGACGATTTCGAAGTAAAAGTCAATATCCTTGCACAGGAGTCTAAAACACCAGCGTGAAAACTCCTAGAGGCTTTTTGGATCAATGCCAAAAACCCTACAATGAATAGCAGGGATGAATGCCCGGAGGTCATACGCGACCTGATCCCGTACGTTCGCATCGATTTTTGATGTGGGATGGTGCAGTCGTCAACCACATGCGACTATAATCAGCTGTTCTAAACTTCCTCATTGGAAGTCACGAAAAAGCGGTGGCTTTTTCGAGAAGTTGTTGATCGTGTAATTACCAAAGGGTCTTTCGTCTTCTTGTAAGTGTTATTGAAGCGTTTGGCCTAGTAGATTGTATATCAGCATACCCTTCCAGGCTCTGAAGAAGGCGATACTGCCGAAAGGTCAGCTAGTGTTGTATTGTATTGTGTTTTTTATGGAAGTAAATGTATGCTGTTTAAAAACCTCGCGATTGCTGAACAAGAAAACGACACATTCATATTCCAATGCCGAGGTTAAGAGAAAGTCGATCCTGGGAACTATTTTCATTTTATTAAAGTTTTCTGCTTCAGACATATTTCGTACACACATGTTCACCAATGATTTAGAATAATGGCAATTATAATCACAAACTATAATTGTTCAACATGTGATTAGTTTTGCTAAGCGGACATCTTAGGAGCACCGGTAGCGCATTGCAGTGGTGACGGCCAATGTGAGCAAGAGCTGGTTCGTTCTCGATACGGACCACGCCACTTCCCATGCCTCTGAGGTAGGGAACCGGTATCAGATTTGTCTGGGTTGCTTTCTTCGGCAAGTACGATCCAGGAACGCCCTAGCATCTGCTACACTAGGGTCGGCTTTCGGATAGGGAGAATTAACTCCACCAGCTTTCAATGACATTAATAAAAGAGATCTGTACAAATAGCCGAACCCACAGGACAGTCCGCAGACCCTCGCTGGTGAAGGACGCGACGAAACGAGACGAATGCGAGAAGTTCTGGGAGCCGCATAATATATGTTGAGACGCGTTATGTTAAAACTAGAAAATATAGGGGAACTGCTGAGAAGAGTATGTGGAACTTATCGTCTTTTCTGCTGTGAGCCATGGAGTAACGGTAATATCTAAAAACGTTTTTTTATGCTTTTTAGATAACCCGCCTTCAAATATTGTGCGGACCCCATCCAAGCGCTTATTTCGTCCGGTTCGTTGTACTGCAGCTGTCATTCAAGGAAAGGTCCTAATTTGCGTGCGGAGTTAGCTGATAGTTGAGGATTTTTGATTTGTTCACGAATATTATTAGATGCTGGTCGACTATGATGCCAACTAAGGTGGCCTCTGTAGAGCATTCCCAGACCTTCATAACAGGAAGTACCATCTTTAATTGCAAAGAACATTTGTCCGACAAATCTGGTACTAATTTTCCCACTCTTTGTTTGGCGGAGAACGACGTGGAACCATCACCATCGACCATGCGTTTATGGCACGAAGTGTCTAACCAACAACCCACATTTACGTTTTTGGGATTATCACAAGAAAAGTGGTAGGCTGCACTACGTTCAAAAAGACGACTAGAAGTAGTTTAAGTGACACGTTTCGATTACAATTACATAAATTCTGTTCACCTACCATGACAGTCGCTACAAACAAGAAAACCCATTTCCATTCCTCTTGTATGTGATTCGGTGTCAACGAATTGACGATGAATGGAACGATAAGCATAGTGATTGTAATACCCAATGAGATGTTGCCGGTAACAAAGTGACTAAAGAACGCTATGAATCACTAATCTGTGCCTTCAGTTTAGAAAAATTTTCACCCAATATTCATTTGAAGATTGGTTTCCTCGAAAATTCTTGACTACGATACGCACCTGTACTGTTTTGAGATCACCGGTCCAGCTTTGAAAAATCCACCGGTAGTTGCGCCAAGTATTCCAGCCGCACATCCCAATACAACCATATTGATATTCTAAGTGCAAGCTGTTTTTTATCTTGTTTTGTTTTCGTTATATAAATCATTTGATCAATTTCTCTAAAAGGATTGAAATGTTATTACCTTGTGGGAATCACCCATGAATGCCAGTATGGTCAAAAACGTTGCCGATCCAATAAAAGCGATCGAGTTGAAAATTCGAAACTTATTCTTCTCGGAGATGAATTTGATTCTATCCGATAGCATACCTAAGATGAAAGTTTCATAAAGATGAACTTTTTCACCTACAAAGAAATAAAGCTCGAAGGTGATTTTGATGAAATCCTTTTGACTAAGAAAAAACTTTTCTCCAAGAACTAGTGTTAATAATAATAATACTTTCCCAGTATACGATTCTTTTTTATTCGATTTTACACGACCCGTCATAAAATCTACTCTGCGGATCCAAGCACTTTTTCCACTCGATTTATTTCCTCAGCATCGTCTACAAAGGCCTTCGAACATTTCGCATGTTGCTTCGACTGCTCTTGAGGATTTCCTCTTTTTTATAATGATCGTGTAATGATAGTTAAGTCAAGTGTCTATGAAATTTTGGGGTAGCTGAGCTATGACACTCCGACGTTGAGCGGAATAGAGAGTTAGGTAGAGGACAGAACTAGGGCCTTGCGTTTTGACCGACTGCATCACTAACGACTACGTTACCAGCACCACAGTATAAAATAATTACAGAAGATCATTAAATGTTACGCAAGTGATTCCAACTCTAATTGCTTACATGTTTTCACTCTGTTTAAAATTACTTATTTGCTCTGAACAACTACAGACTTATCACCGAGAGAAACGTATTTAGTCAAATTATACGTATAAAATTTTGGTACATTCTTTAAAATTTACCGTCGTATTAAAAAAGGTGCCTGTCAGCTTTACACAGCACTCTTCCAGAGTGCAATGCCGTGGTTAGGTTCCTTGAACAACATAATGTATCGGACGATGATTTCATTCCATGCCCTAGCGACACCTAACCGCGTACACTGCTCCATGATCGGCAAGTTAGTACCATCTTTGTTCACAAGGATAAAAACTCCAACTCGATACTTCGGTAAACTACCACAGGTCATTGCGTAGACCAGATATGCCACTTCAAGAAGGCTGATGAAGTTGAATGCATGGCGCGTCCCTCAGGGATTGAACAACGCCGAGGGTTTCCATCCTACCGTTTTGTGATTGTACAATTCATAGATTGCCCATTTTCAAATTCACCACGAACCATAGCATTTTCTCCAACCGCCTTCTGTCTTACAACATTTGCCCTATAGATGTGGTGGGGACTGATCTTTGGGTTCAGTTGTATCCCAAACATTTGCAATCGTTTTCCACATTCACACCGTGAACGTCGAATATGTCGAGGCTCATGCAGTTGCCGGCTTTCGATAATTGAAAGTAAAACTGCTGTTTTGCTACTCAGATTCTTTTTGGATATTCTAACAAGGGTTGCAAAGCGCCAGGTCCAACGGTGATATTTTAGGTTTGAATCATCGCTGGCACTTCACGTAACAATTCCGAAGACCGACTTTCTGTTAACCTCGGCATTGATTGATAATTCGATGTTCTTCCTCAATAAGCAGACACGAGGTTGTTATTATAGAATTTATTAGGATACAATAGTTGACGTTTCGGTGGTTTCGCCTTCTTCAGAGCCGTTCATTTGTTGTAAGTATTTAAGTTAGTTGGTGGATAGCAGCAGCACAGAGTAATACATGGGCGATAACTGTCACAGTTATAACAGACACGAAACCGCCGAAACGTCAGCTATTGTATCCTAATAAATTTTACAATAACAACCTCATGTCTGCTTATTGAAGAAAAGCATGGAATCATCGCTAACTCTTCTGAATTTCATCTTTTCCAGTGAAAGAATGCGTTTAACCTGCCACAACATCAAAAAAAGCAAAAACTTTGGTTTAAACTCCTAAAACACTTACCAGAATCTAGAAAACTAAATTTCCTATCTGTCAAGCAAGTAGAAATAAAGAAAATAACATAAGACAAACCAAAAATCAGTTTGCTGCAAAACTGAGCCAGAGGAGGTAACGCTGCCGTGATTCCAGTCTTGTGTACGGGAAATCCGAGAACTACAAGAATTATATGAAAAATAATACTACGTTACAAAATCCTTCTGAAAACTCTCAAAAGTGCTCGAAAGCTAACCTGTCGACAGATATTTAGGTGAAAAGAGAAACATCATATTGACGCAAGTAAAATTGCCGATGGAGGCAATCCATATAGCCCAAATGGCTGGTGTAGTAAGAATAGCCGCATATGGTATGGCTTGTAGGGCTCGTTTACTGAAAGATTGGGATTACGCATATTTAACAAGGAATAACGCTGCTATTTAAGAGTTGAGCTTCCTTTAAGAAATTTAGCTAGTTGAATCTTATCAAGTGGAAGTTCATCGGCAATACTTTTGTCCTTTCCTTCACTTTTCCTTCTAGCACCTAGCTGAATAGGGAATTGAACACAAAAAGAATACATTTGTACAAAATGGTTAACGAACCTCTCGTTTTAATTAAGTATAAGAATATATATGTACGAGCGAAAGAGGAATGGGTTAGCGTAACGGTTAGTGACGCAGACCACCAGAAAAAAAGTGGTTCGGCCCCCACTTCGCGCACTCCCCAATCCACGTGGAAACACCCTAGTACGGCCACTTCCAGGATCCCGTGGGGAGAATCAACTGGACAGAGACCTACGGCACTCATACAGAAGGCGAAATCCACAAGCAGCTTGTTGTTCGAGGACCATTGTGGACGACACATGGGAGGAAAACGAATCAACTGGAAGACCTGCTGTGATCCGCAAGGCACATGTGATAACGGGTCGCGCAAAAATGTAGAAATGTAAAAATGTAAAAATATAAAAATTATTAAGTACGTATACTCAATAAGAAAAAACTATGTTGACACGTCGCGTCAACTTTGTGGACACGATTTTTATCACGGCTTTAACGGGAATTCGTGCCAAGCCTGTGCGAATACAACATGTTGCATTTTTTTAGCGAGACCTTGGATAAGTTTTAATGCGCTTTATTTTTCTACATTTTCTAGCGTGTCAGGAAGAAAGACAGAGAGAAAGAGGGGAGGGATAAAAGATGGGAACGTATCATTAAAGAAAAATAGAAACACTAGGTAGAGCGTACTTATAAAAACACGCACTTTTTTTATGATGTCTGAATGAGTGAGGTTAAATTAAACAGAGATAGGATGATAGGATGATAGTATAGTGCGACGATAAGACTGCGATACTTTTCTTGGTTTAGTCGTTGGTTCGACACTCGTAGGAGGTAAAGTAAGCCAGTACTCTCTCCTGCAATAGAAAAACTATAGCCAATTCACTAGAAAAGGATAAAAACTACTTTCGTGCCGAGATGTTTGCAAAACTTGGACACCAGGCCATATCCGACCGCGATTACTCTTTCCCGAGCTTACATGTTACCCATGACACCACTGAGGCTCCCGCCCTGGTTTTCTCTCAGCCAGTCTTCTTATATGAGAACGCCACTTTATTTTAGTTGGCATGCATGCAATTATTCTAATACAAAAAGAACACCTGCTTTTTAGCGATGTTTTAGCTCAATCAGACCCATCGAAAAATATTTGTGCATCACTTCCCAACGTCTTCCTATACTGGAACTGCATATTTGCAAAGAATTGTTTTAAATAAGTAAGAAAAATACGAGGCTCATATCACAACAATTCGATTCTTTTTTCTTGTGAATCCTACCTAGAGTTGGTTGCGGTTGAGTCATTATGATCGCTGAGCTTTCATTGTTCAAATCTTCATCGATCTGGGAAGAATTAATGACAGAGGCGTTGCAAAGAAAGGGGAAACAAATCCCTTCATAATAAATAAACAATAAAATGAGCTTTTCAGACATCTCGTAACTGTAATGTCCACGTGATGATCACGTGACATGCACATGGCAGTCCAATTGTGATGTTTAGGACCAGTTTAACCCATGATACACGGACCAAAAATGACGTCATCAACCATAGACAAATTATATATTATTGGATAGATGATGACAAGTTATACTTGGCAGGCATACGGTAATAGACCCTATTTAAGAAAATATTTTTAAAAAGTACTGAACGTTGAGCATATTGGATTGTTCACTAATTATTTAAGAGTTATTTTAATGTGAAAGGCACATAAAGAATCCATGTGAACTCTCTGCGGTTAGTCTCCACGTGACATACTCAGTGGAAGACTTACAGAAAGCAGTGACTGTGCAAAGAAGCTACTCTGTGTTCAACGTGATTGAAATCTCGGTTTAACACCTTCCTTGTTTGGTTAAGGGGGTGTTTGGTTGGCTAGATTGCAGTCAACTTAACCTTTCCAGGCTCTGAGGAAGGCGAAATCGGCCGAAACGTCAACTTTTCCTCAATAAAGAATAACATCGTGTTTGCTCAACAAAAATATAAATAATTATTGGGTCAATACCGAGCTTAATAGAAAATCGGTCATAGGAATACTATAATATGCAGACTTTCTCCAACAAGGCATAAGTTCTGTTGCTATACCAAAGTGAGATTCTGGGTTTTGTTTCAAGTAGTGAAAAGTAGGAGGAACAAACTTGCGAAGTACAGAGAGCACGAAAGTAATGGTACATCAAATTTATGAGCGAAACTAACTCAGAATACAGTGCGAAAAATTAGAGCAATAAGGAATGGAAAGCATTAGCACATCCGACTCAAACACTAATGAAGTTTTTCTTTTTAACAGAAATCAATACCAAAAAGCTTGTTCTAAATACTTTCCTCTATGTGGTAGAAGAAAATGCATCCATTCCCACGAATGTTTTTTTCCTCGTCATTTCCTTACAACTAAAGCGTTTGATTAAACTCGCACACAGTTTCGTTTTTGTTCTTTTTTCTTTCTTCACCTTTTCAAAAGTTTTTTAATATTGTCGCTCTAGGATTCCACTCAGTTCTCTTCAGTTCATATGTGGTTCGACAATGTTTTGTTTTTCAACTCCTCATTATCGGATCCAGAACAAAACGCTGGAGATCACCGAATGTTCGGGAAGTGATGAAATTCAAAAAGGAAACAAACTTCGAGAAGTTTGCTGTTGACTGCTAAATTTCTAACATTTTCTAATTTCGTTCCAACTGTTCTTCTTCTACTGGGGTCACTGTTGCTGATAAAAGATAAAAACCTACTCAAAGAGATTTGTCGTTATTTGAATTTGTTCTCCATTAATAAGCGTTTTGTAGCCGGACTCACTCTACGTTGTCGATCTTTCCGACGCTAATCTTGCGTAATTCCACACGTCCAACGAACGGGTGCTTGCCGGGTGAGTTACGGTAGAATAAGGCGTATGTGATGAAGAGAAGTAGTGACACAGCACCGTGAGCGTAAAAGATCGCTGGCCAGCTGAAAATATGACTGCTATTATACAGCAAAAATAAAACTCCGAAATAGCAGTGGCTGCCATATTAATGGCTATGAGAATGACTGAATATTGATTGAAAATTTAATAAAAATGTTTCATTTCCGAGACTTAAATTCCAAAAGCTTAGCCAACATTCGACAGTTTTCATGAGCCACCGCTTGCCGTCGTTTCCAAGTACAAGTAAGTATTGGACAAGGAAAGCTAATAAGCATTAAAAGCAATAGTGATAACTGGGTGACTCCTTCATTAGACAGAGGTTACAAAACCTCATTTTTCATTCATGATCAATAACAGTGGTACCTTACCTTTTGTCTTTGTCTTAAGGTAATTTACCTTTTGTCTTAATTACTTATCTCAGCACCCTCGTGCTTGTACAATCACACCCTGTCACGAAAAAGAAAACGCTGTAAATGAAGGCTAAAATAACTACTTCTTTTTATGATGACTCTAAATGAAGAAAGCAATGGATGTACCTAGGCCGCCTACCGACATTAAGAGCAGCAGTTGCGTGCCATCAAACAACTAGACCAATTTTCTGTAGGAATTATACCTTAAGGATTCACTTTAACTATAAAACTGTTCTAGATCTTGATTAGAAGACCCCGCTGAAAGTAAACACATTTTTGGATTCCCTGCCATCATGAAAAAACCTAGCCCCAATGTGATATAAGCCTTCTACCGAACTACCGAACAACAATGGTCGGCAATTGTTTGGTTGAGCACATAAGAGAATGCAAAAGGGGAAAATCTTTCCTAGGCTGCTAAATATTGTTGTCGAAAAACAGAAATTGTGGATTTTTCGGCGGTCGACTTCGAATTAGAGGTGAGTTTGAGTGTCTGTCAATCAGTTCAAAAAGTCGGGAATTAACGGCTTTGCAGCAAAGGTCATTTCAAAATCTGAGATTAAGGCGCTTAAAATGTGGGTACAATATTATTGACGCTCATTTCTTATAGTATTTTCGGCACTATTTTTCTACTAAACTATTTCCTTCAAATGAAAAATATTACTTAGCTGTAGGCTATTATGTGAAAAATTTTGCTGCCAGTTTATCTCTAATCGTATTGAACCATATTCTCTAAGCATACGAAGACGGAAATCATTTACCTAAAAGCCGAACAGAGCGCTCCTGATGCTGGCATAGTACATGCTGGTGCCAGCTGAACGTAAGCGACGAGAACCGAGACAAATAGACCGTTCTAAGTGGCTCAATTATTTTTTCTATAAAAAAATATCTCGGATAAGTTCAGAATGCTCCCATTACCTGCTTGAAATAGGTCCATCTTGCACAGAACGAGCCAATCACAGGAAAATTAGCAGCAAATGCGAATCCTTGCAAAAAACGTACAGCAAGGAACCAGTGAAATCCGAACTGAAATTGTCATTCTCTCACTAGCCGATACCCACCATTGCTGTACAAATAACAAGACCTGATTAGTCTTAAACCAGCAAATCAATACCCTCTCGAGCGCAAATTAATAAATCATTCTAATAAAAAGTAGAAATCTTTCTTGGATTGTAAATTTCGAAGTGACTTAACGATTTAGTAGAGATATGGAGAAGCATTGGATTCTAAGAAGAGAACCCAAATTAACTAAAACATAAAGTACTCGACGTTGATCAATCACTTCAGCATGCTGTATCTTCGAAAAGAAACCTCATAAGAAACGCCGATACTGAAGGCATAAAGGGCTTGGTTTATCTAGGGCACAAGATCGAGCCAGTGATCGCGTGTATATTACACGACATCTTTTACCACGTATATTTACCATTTAACACTTTTTAGGTAAAAAAAAAGGAAAGCGTCATGTTGTGCCCTCAAAATCCCATACTGATCGCAAGAGAATTTCCATTGAAAGTGAAGATTCTAATGTTTACGTTTACTTTATCTATGCCTTACAATTTTCCTACTGTTACTGTTCCAGTACTCCGCTACGCCTCACGTATTTGATCGTCATAGAATTTCCTCACCAGAGAGTTTAAACTGTAAACTCACACGGATCGCTGTAGGTATAAGCAGTGTCGATATAGAACTGAGCACGCCAAGACCGGCAAATACCGTTCTGATACCGACCTTATTTACTAGTTGTACAACTGGAAAGTTACCAAGTAGTGCAGCGATCGCCACTACTGATATTGCCCACGATTCTTGGCCTAAATATCATAAAATAAAATATGATTTGTAGGCGAAATTTCAAGTGAAAATTGTATTTTAAAACTATCTCTTCATTTTCAACGATAGCCCAAGTAGAAAATTTTGTATGATAAGTATTGTAGTCAGTTTTATGTGAGAGTAACGATCATAGCCACCCAAAAGAGTGTAGACTTAGTGCATAATTCAGTAAAATCCTTCAGAAGTGACGAACCTTTTTCATCGCATTGAACACTTTTCCGTCTTCAAATTACGAAACACAGATTGTTTATTAATATTGCAGTTTATTTTCCCGAGACTAATTTAGATTATTATGGTAAAACTAGCGTTCTGATGTAACGATGTTCGTGCGAGTTGTCTGCGGCCTATTGACAGCCATAACCTGGTTCCCGCACCCACTTCCACCTTGACCGTCCTGCCATTTGGTCTCGGTTCAACTCTCCCGATTTCTCCCGATAACTGCTTTTAGTTCTCCTTACGTCACGACAGGAATTTCGGATAATCAATCATGTTTATCGACTAAAGACTCTGCCTCTGACTATCACTATCGCATATAGTGATAATCGGATCGAATAATAGAAGACCAGCTCGATAAGTGATCATCTTCATGATCACCACGCAATTGAAATCCACCTAAAAACTAGCAAATTACAGAATATTAAATGTAGACAAACCATTCGTGAACGCTCGAATACTCGTCGATTGTGTTGTATTCGTGCCATTGGCTGCAGTTTCCTCACGAGCCGATGTTTGCATGCAAACCACGGCAAAGTTGAAGGTGAGAATGTTTGACCTGAATTATTCCTATTCTTATAATAAAGCAATTTTATTTCCAAATTCAGCCATTGAAAACAATGACTTATTGAGCACTTTTGTTGTCTAGAATGCCGTTTATGGTGAACTGCAGTGCAATATGGCGGTTAAATTCTCAACATTACACGTCTTCGTGAAGTATTCTTTTAATTTCTCAAAGCCTTTCATACCTCTCTAAAAGTTTTGTCGTCTAGACGAAGTGGACACAGGACGTTAGGCAAAAAAGCTCTACGAACTGTTATTCATACAGCTTAAGGAAGTCCGATCAACACAAGAGATGCGTTGAGAAAACTATGATGTTTTTCTACTTCTGTTCAGCAAACACGAGGTGCTATTTTATTTCCTTATTTACGCACAAGCTGACGTTTCGGCGGATTTCGCCTTCCTCAGAGCCGCTTTCTATGAGTCTTCCACTGAGTATGTCGCGTGAAGACCGACCGCACCTAATTCACATGGAAGCGTATTGTGATATGAAAGATATATTCAATCAATGCCGAGGTTAATAGAAAGTCGGACTTGGGAGTTACTATGATGTTTGTTTGAGTAAACACCTTATATTACCTCTTACACGAGAACGGGTTAACTAAATTCCAGATATTGACAACACTAGAATGCTTAGTTGTGATAGCCCGAGTGTCACCCTACGATCGCCAAGTTTTCATTGAACCAGTCCGGCCTTTCTTCCGTAAACATTGTGTTTGCCATACAGTGACACAAATAACTATCTGTGTTGTTTTCCCACCAACTTGCTTCCTGACACGATCATTTCTTAGCTATTTTAGACTTTTCGCAAGTACAAAAAGCATAATTAAACGGTTTGTTTACGTATAAGGTCAAAACGACAACGCGTTTCGGTCATTCTGCCCAGGACAAACGCCTCTGCATCAAAGCGAAGCACAGAAATGGAACGTTTACAAGCATGGAGTGCATCCTCTTAGTTACTAGAAAACTAAAGTCACTCTTTAACGTTGGTGTTGGTGTCATTGAACGATCAAAGGAAGTGAAAGAAAATTTCAGAGATAAAGCGACGAATAAGAATGAAACGAATGAAATTCACTGAATTCGAACGTAATGGTTTCATTTGTTGTTATAAAATTTTACAATTACAATGTCTAGCAGGTGACAGTGAAACCTAAGACACTCATTATGCTAGTAATTAGAATTTCAACTAATATCTTGCGGCAACCATTCAAAAAACTAATATTGTAACCACAACGATGAGCAGCATCATAGCTGAGAGAAAAGCGAGACGAAAGGTCCGCATGGTGTGCCGGTGAACGCGTTAGCCGCCGGAAAGGGTAATAGCGGGTTCGAACCTCACCGCAGACACCTGTGGTTCCGAGTTTTGCAAGTATCTCAGCATCATTGTGATAAAACTTCACGTCATACCTAGCTATAAAAAGAATAGGCAGTAAGTAATAAGTGCTTACACTAATATTGTATTTATTAAAGTGCTCAAGAGTGCTAACTATTTCGAAAATAAACAAAAGAATGATAGCAGATAAACCAAACAGGTGTGTTCTTACTGTGTATTGTTAAGATTATTAAGACAAATTTTTTGGCAACTGCAGAGGAAATGTAAAATTTACGAAAAATTTCCCGCTTCACAAACGATATATAAAACATCGACGTTGTTTTTCGTGTTTACTTTAGAGCTCCAGTCAGGCATCTTAAAAACAATGCTTCACCGAGCACTGTTCCGATCTGGTATAGCAATTGCTAGACACTCAGTGAGCTTTATGGATTTTTCTACTTCCAGCTGAATCTAAGATTTCTTTCACCTACTGTATTTGAAGGAGAAACGAAAAGGTTAATAAAGCGATTTTTTACCGTGAACTACACTACATGCCTAAGTGAAATCTATTCAAGGAAAATAAATTTTTCGCCACTTTGATCTCCTTTCCTCTATGAAGATCGGCACTACGAAATTTATTTATTCTTCGTTATTTTTTGATTTTTACACTGAAGTCACTTCATTTGCAATCTTCTAGTATCTAATTAATTTACTGCGCTCACACTACTACTTGATACTTAATACCTGAATGGCCTGTTTTCACCGGTTGTGCGGGCTCCAGCATGATCTCCATTTTTCGGAGATTTGCTGGTTAAGCCATTGTGGTTCCTGGAATCCCGAGGATGACCAGGCCAAAGTCTGCCCCAGGTTGTCACCACGACAGGCAGTCGCAACCCTCGTGAATCAGAGGGAGATTTGCCACTATGCGACTTTGGTACCAAGACGGTGGTGGATCCTGGTATTGGTGTACTCTTAGCTAGGCTTCCTGATGGAAATTCCTTCCCAGTGGAAACGCCGGATTCCTCAGCTTGGGAGACCCTACCAGGGGATGAATTCCCCGCTGTACATTGCAGTCCGATACCCAGGAATACCTCCCAGCCACGATAAAGCGGTAAACCGTTTGGACGGCTCCTATACTACAGTGGCCGTTTTTTAAGACACATCCAAAAAAAAGACTTTCACGTTTTTCCTTACTTCGAGCTTTGTTTTTTGTCTCTGCCTTTTTTGTCCTCGCTATTTTTACTCTTTTAAAATTGTCGTTTAGTTTATTGAAATAAGAGACCATTCCTCGCACAGGAATCGAAATCATAAGAGCGCAAAATTCTCGAGGCGTTCTGGATTAATTCCAGAAATCCGAAAATGAACCAAAGGGAAGAATGCCTCACTACCACGCGTGATAGTGGGCAGTATATAAGCCTGTTATTCTGATGGGAGAGGCACATTACATTTCCATGCGAATTCTGTGCAGGTGGTCTCAACGCGACATAGTCAGTGGAAGCGATGAGTGTTCATAGAAGCTATTCCGTGTTCAATGTGATTGAAATCCTGGTTTAGCGTTTTCTCTGTTTGGTTATGGAGCTGCTTGGCCGAATAGATTGCTGTCAACTTGATTCTGAGAAAGGCGAAATCCGCCGAAACGTCAGCTTGTTCGTGAATAAAGAACAAAATAACACCTCGCGGTTGCTCAACAAGAACACGAAGAATTGAGAGGTCACTGCTTCTTTCGAGATTTCTCAGCCATTTTTTTAAAATTTTACGACGGTCGAAATTACGAAGTGTTCATTTGAATGGATGAACCGCCTCTTCTACTTTATAGCTTATACGCTCTTAGTTTTCTCGTTGAGAAAGATATAGAACGAAGCTGCTCTGCTTCAAGATTGATCGTACCTTTCTTTCTTACTACGATATATCAGTAGCGTGGATAATTATGTTCGGACTTTCTGAGTTCTTCGACTTTTTGTCACCACACCTCATTAGGACCTTGTGAAAGCATTTTTTCAATTTTTTCTTTTTTCTCCGAAACAACAGGATTTCGATATCTTCCGACTGTGCCGTTGGAGCTTTATAGTACTGCTTAAAAATAAAAGCTTCGTTTGTCAACTAGTTCCATTATTTTTTGACAAACAGCATCAAGAAATAAAACAAAAAACTAGTTCGGATTTTCTACTGATGAGTTTTCATGATCACAATCGATCACAAGCGTCCGAAAATAGACCAGTCGGAGAAGGATGCGAAATCGACGTCATCCATTTACCATCGTGCTATCGTACTATTTGGGAATGTTAGTGTAATATTAAGAGCTTATTTATAGAGCAGTGGTAATCTGATAAACTTATCACATACCATATACTGGTTAGACACAGCAGTACGAGAATCATAACGACGAAACGTGTTCTTGTCCCAAAAATCGCTATATACCGAGCTTCAGCGGTTGCTTGTGACGGAAAGACGTCCACCATTGTCTCCGATAGATGGCTTCCTGAACACCCGAGGATTTAGAAAGACAACAGTTAACAGCACGAATTGCCAAAGGAGTAACCACGAATGAAGATCGTACAGTCATTATACTGTAAAGCCCAATATATTTACGATAATAATCACGCTACCTAAGGCAAATTCTCTATCAGAGCTAGATTTTCTAATGTAAGGAACCAAAATGGTAAGTAGAAAATAAACAAAATGATACAACATAACTACAATTTAAGCTATTTAGATTAGTAAGGATGAATTACGGAGAAGGATTAACAAAAGTTTTTTTTAAAGGGACTTGCATTCGACTTCTTGGAAAAGACATTTGCTTATAAAGCTGGAATTGGGTAGAGTGTCGGTAGAAATCTGTGAAACTGCAAAGTTAGCTGTAAAAAAGATTGGTACTAGGGATGATTTTTCCAGTAATAATCCACAAATAACGGAATGAAAAGTTTTCTCCGAATACCGTATCTAGCCAGGTTTGAGATAGCTCTGCCATTAAGTAATACAAGAATATACATTATTTTGTAGACGTAATAGTACCTAACAAATGTAATAAGCAGTAATGTTAATTAAAAATAACGATCAGACGATCGTAGATGTCTCGTGGATGAATTTCGGGAGCACGTCCTGAAATATCTACGCCGAACAAGTAGAGTATCGGTACAAAAGTGTTCTGTACACTTCCATCATTTAGAGATGAATACGCCAGCGGTTATAGTGGTGTTGGTGGCGATGGTGGTGGTGATGTTCACGTGATAACATCACCATGATCGGGAGGGCACGCCTATATCGGTGACAAGTTTCCGGTACAAAGGTTACCCAAGCAGATAGAATAAACGTATCCGGGACCGTTTTAAATTTATTAGTGCATATTATGCATACTACGATATTGGTATGCTAAAAATAGACTGTAGTAGTACATTTTAGTGCAGAATGATGGCCTCTAAACCAAGAAAAGCGAAGAATCACTTGATATTCGATGTTTTTCGTTTGAATTTCGAAGGTATTATAGAGCTTAAGAAATGTTTTATAGTGTTAATCATCATAAGTGATGATGCTGCGCACTATGGTGTTTCTGTGCTGCTGATAAACCCTAACGCGCCCATAGCGCAGTGGATACACGTGCCGTTCTGATACACACGTTTTCTTTGACTCGATCCCTCTCCCCGGGCGCGCCAAACCTTTCATGCTTCAAGCGTCGGCAAATTGGTAGCGCACTTAACTGCGAGAAGGAGTAACACTGAACTGATACATTGATAGGCTGCAGTAAGTTACTTCATGACCACCATGTGCATTAGACCACCTTCTAACGATGCTTAAGGAAGTGGAATGCACAGCGCATTTCGCAGGCACTTACCAAGTCCTAATGCTTTACACTTCTATTGTTTAATTAGCACAGTTGACAACTCTTCCTACCACGATACTTACCTCTTACTAATAAATTCTATAGTCAGTAGACTTTGTGAACATTGTACTGATCCGCGGAATCCAACACAAATTAGAAATCCAACGGAAAATGACTGAGAACCGATATTTTTCGCTCATATTACGAAAACGCGATTCTACTTTATGTTATCAAGTATCATAAATAATGATTCGACATTAGGCTTAGAAATTTTTCATCCTATATTCACTGAGGTAGGAGAATGTAAATTTGGTTGCAAGGTTTGACCGAGAGGGTGGTCTAGTTGATGTGTTCTGAATGAAGGACCTTAGGTAGCACATAAACGAAAGTCGAACCACAGCTGAGAGACAAACTAGCTAGACCTACGACGTTTTATATTGAAGTGGATCATTTAGGAATATTTACGCATTCTGATTGTCATGTATGCCCCACTGTTATTTATCACACATATTTCTATTTTCCACTTGTCGTTTTATATATAATCAAGAGAGCATGTAATCTTCAGGACATAATAAAGGCGGTGACTATTAGACTCTAAAAAAACTCCGGGTTCATATACAGGCTGAGTAGAGAGTAATCCCTTATTTTAAAGGTCTTCTAACTTGGAAACCCTTAACTTTACCTTAACTTGACTTAGAAGAACATTCTTAGCTTTTTATAAAGAGTGAATAGGAGATGATAGCATACAGCATGAAATTTTAACTGAACTTCGACGTGGGTACCAGAATTAGCCACCAGCTCCTCAAGCCATCCGAAGGCGCATCAACTGATCTCTGGTGAGATAGAAGACAATTCGTATTCTCCTTTCAAGTGCTTCTAAAGTCGTTCGTTTGTTAGAGTTCGCTTACTCCTTTAACCAGCGCCATAATAAGTTGTAGAGCGTTAAGTCAGGCTTTCTAGTTAGCTACATATGTGGACCATGAAGGCCTACTAATTTCCCAGAGAAGTGAGCATTCAACCATTAACAAATAGCCGTATCAAAATTGATCTGAGAACTAAAACGAAAGGAGCATAGATTAAATTCCCATACATTAATGAACATAAGAAAAGGTTAGAAAATATCATGACATATGAATAGATCACAAGCGTTATAAAATAGAGAGTTAGTTTTTAGTCATGCGGATCACCTAGGTACTGCGACGACCAATGAGCATATCAACAAAGTTGTTGGTTTTGCGCCTACTTTTCAGTCATGCGGCTCACCCAGGTAGTCTGCCGACCAGTGAGCTTATCAACAAGGTTATTACTACTTTTGGGCTTCCTTCATCTATGGGCATCAAACTGTATGGATGCGGACGTGTAATGTGACCAATTCTGTCTTATTACTGAGGAATGGAATTCGTTTATTATGCTACCCCAATCGACTTCACATTCTCTCAATACATATTCTTTCCATTAAGTTGCGTAATCCAAAATCTGAGTAACTATTCAGTGAAGCCTTGCGAGAGCAGTTCTATGGGTTCATCTACCAAATGATCGGTGTTTTCGTTGTGAATATGGAATGATCCCGACATTTTTCTTTGGTTACACTTGATTTTTTGCTTGACGCCATGATCGCATTGTTTACTCAGCAAACAAAGGGTGTGTAACAGTTCCAAGATCGGTGACCCTCTACCCTCTACTATAATTATCCTCCTTTGCACGTCCATGCAGTGCTCTTCGAAAATTTTCCGCTCTTGTCGATAAAATAAAAGTATTAGTGAAACCCGGTTACACAGGCACCGAAACGTGGAACTCGAGCAATCGTATTATAAAAATATTTATTTATTTGATGCGATTATGTGGAGAATAACAATCACTGAAATTCTGGTAAGCCAGGAGTGCCTACTTTTACGTGGAATATATCAAATATGTATTTTTCTTCTTGCAAATGGAAAACATAGGCGGATGAGTAGAATATGAAGTTATTTTTTTTGTGCTAGGACTCTACTTTTGCTCTATTTGACAGAAGAGTATTTGCGATTCACTAGAGTGACTATGCAAGGCCTCGACCTAGAAGGTTGGGTATAATCAGCGATAACTTTTCGGACTCCTCCGGATTTGGAAATGCGGCTTATGCGATAATGATGCTGATACTAGCGATTCACCACATAGCCTCATGGCTATTCGGCTGTGGATTTCTAAGTGAGGAAGATCCATGACCTATTTATATCCTCAAGTTCAAGAAAATGCAAACTTCGCAAAACTTAAATGGAGATATCTCTCAGTGGGTTCATTCCCCACCTGTTATGAAATAATCATACAGTTAGGGTTCGCCACTCCATTGCTATTTCATGAGCAGATAAAAAGTCGGAAATTTCCATTCGCAAGTTTATTTAAGTAAAACAATGTTCGGAGTCGTGAAAAGCTAATTTCGATGTGAAAAACCTCTCTCCTTTCCACAAGAGCGGCCCTATGCTTGTGATTGGAAAGCCCATGCAAGACTACGTCAAGACTCCAAAAGAAAAATTCTTATGATAACAGGTCGAAGCATGAAAAATGTACTTTGAAATTCCAGGTAGGTGAGTACATTTTCCATTTGGAAGAAGAAAAATACATATTCGATATATTCCACCTAAAAATAGGAGCCCTTGGTTTACCAGCATATTGGGGATTATAATTCTAGGTATAACCTCATTAAGTAAAGCACCACATAACTAAGTAAACATGAAGAACTACTCTTCTCATTTATCCCAGCGATTCCACCATATTTTACAACGACTTCCGCTACCATAGCTATTAATAGTTTTTCAGTTCTAGTCCAGGGTGTACTCTATACACAGACCACTCAGGCGACAGAACAATTTCCGTTATGGAATAGGTCTTGGGATGTAGTGGTCAACAATTCGTAAAGCATAGGCAGAGGAATGCAAAGAGGACGGCGAATCGTACTCACTAAAGCATTGCGGGAATGGTTCTTCGGAAAGTATTCACATTCTGTCTGGATGCAGTTTGTAAATTTAAACAAAGTAAAGCAAATTCTCTTTGTTTGCCACTTACTTCGATGTACTTTGTAATAAATCCTATTCGTATCATCTGTAACACCCGATGATAAAGTTGCCCTTACACAAGAACGTTGAACTTCACGACCATGATTTTCTAGTTCATTTACTAGAACTTCGAAAGTAAGAATAACGCACAAATTCGTACAATAAAATGCGTTATTGGTTTTACTAAACAAATTAAAACTTTCTGAGAGCGCATGTGGTCCAGTGGTAAAAGGTGACCTACTATAGATGCGACATTTGGATCGATGTCGTCCGAGGCTAACCAAGCCAAGCATGTCTGCAGGGGCTTGGGATGGCAATGGAAATTACACGATCAAATCTCCATAAACGAATAATAAACGCTTTTCAACAGAATTGTCATTCAAAATAAACGGTAGTAATATGGAGAGCCACAGAGAAGACTGCTAAGAAATTCTTTCTACTTCTGTTTAGCAAAGATGAGGTGTTATTTTGTTTCTTTATTTACGTACAGGCTGACGTTTCGGCGGATTTCGTCTTCCTCAGAGCCTGGAAAGGTCAAGTTGACTGCAATCTACACAGCCAAACACCTCCGTAACCAAACAGAGAAAATGCTGAACCAAAATTTCAATCACAT